CCAAAGTCTGTAGAAAAACTGTTTTTTGGTTTTTGTTTTTTTTTGTAGAACTGGTCAATTTAACGCAAAAGGAAGGAAGGAAGAGTTCTGAACTATTTACCAAATGTGAAGACTCTGGGAGAAAACAGTTGGAATGAAACTGACAAGAAGGAGCTCTCGTCCGCGACCGAGGGCGGCTGAGAGGAACTGAGCAAGCCGGACCGTGCACAACACATCAAAGGCGCGAACGCCACCTCGGGCAGCCACGCATGCACGGTCCGGCGGATCACGGCTCTGATAGCTCTCCGATTCGCGGCGCAGGGACGGGACCTGACATTTGGAGTGGTGCACCCACGGGGCCACTCGAAGAAGAACCTGAACTTTATATGAGATTCTGAATTTCACAGATGGACTCGTTTCAATAGATGGCTAGAACAGACACGTGCACACACAGGATGTAAAAGTTTAACCAGTAAACCAATAAGCATCATCTTATCTGTTTCTGTTATGGTTAAATTTTGCCCTCTTAGTGAGCGCTGGCTTCACCCCCAGGGAGCTGGCTGCCACCCTGTGCTGCAAGTTTTGCAGTACAAGGCTTATATTGCTGAGCCCACAGCAAGGGGAAGCAACCAGCTCTGCAGGAGCAGGGATGGCAACCAGAGCAGGTGAGTACCAGGCGTGGTTTGCACTCTCCAGCTACCAGCCCTACTCCCAGGGAGCTGGCTGCACAAGGCTTAACTGCAGACTCCACAGCATGGGGCGGTTTTAAAGCTTTTTTTACAGCCTCAACACAGAGAGTTTTGTGGCTCTGGCTCATCTTTCAGACAAAAGTACTGCAAGACGCAGGCAAGTGGCTCTTACACAATATAAAACCAGTGCAGGGTGGAGACTGCTTCCAATACCTGACCTGGACAAAGGGGAACAGCTGTGAAATTCAGGCCTTAGTTCCCAGAATTCTCATTTGCATTCGTTCCTAGCTGGAATGTAGAGTAGGGAACAACACTGGCAGGCATAAACAAGCCTACAACTCAGTTTCCAAAATGAACTGCAGTGTACTTCAGTCATTTGGCATAAAGAAGCAATTTATACTCCAATCCTCAATCAGGAAAATGGAGAGTGATGGCCCCCCACTTGGTACAGTAAAACTCCGATGGTCCGGCATCTGAAGGTCCGGCACTCCTGATGGTCCGGCACCATCAGGAACTCAGAAGCAGCCGGACAATTGGAGCTGCTCTGCACCCGGCTTCCCCGATTCTGCCGCTGCTGAAACTGACCAGCAGCTGAATCGGAGAAGCTGGGGGCAGAGCAGCTGGGTGGCCCTGTAGTGCTGCCCCTCGGGGCTGCGGGACCAACTCGGTAGCACCCCAGCTGCTCTGCCTCAGGCGTCCCCAAGTCAGCCGCTGCTGAAACTGACCAGCGGCTGATTCCAGGAAGCCCAGGGCACAGCCGGACTATCAGAAGGGGGGGCTATGAGGGATCTGGGGTGGCATCCCCCTCCACCCCACATAGCCCCCCCTTCTGATGGCCCAGCA